GGACAGAAGGAGCTGGGAGAAGGGAGGCAGATCTCCAAGTCACCCCTTGTGTGGCTCCGCAGAGGAGATTAGTGGTGCCGAGCTGCGTGGGGAAGATAAGAGCCACGCACGCCGTCCCCAGGAACCCCGAGAGGAAGCGAGGGCGGACGCAATTGATCTGTGCATTAAAGCTGCTCCTGCAAATGGTGCATGGGCAGCTCCATCCCTTGAATCCCCGGCTGTGATCCTGCCCTTCCCTTCTCCCTACCAGCACAGGGCTGACCCGGCTACACAGCACGTGGGCGAATGCTGAATTATCCCAGCCAGAGCAACATCCTTCCAGCAGCAACCCCTGAGCACCCCATCCCCTGCAAGAGAACATCCTGGCTCGCTTTTGACCCTCATACAGTAAGAATCTCAAGAATTGAAAACAGATAGGTATTTCACTGCATCTTATTCTATTTATATTCCTTGTAACCTTTGAAACTACTTCTTCCTCCCTAAGAAAGGGGCCAAACATGTAAAGGCAGGAAGCAAATTAATTTCCTTTTGAAGTGGTTGATTTACTTTGCCAATCTGCACTGACACAGTAAAAAAAAAAAGAAAAAAAATACAGTAAGCCACCCTAAGGGCGCAGGGTTTCTGGCACGGCAGCACGTTAGCGCTTATGATACTTCAGATAAACCTTGCACACAATCCAAAAAGTGGTCAGTCAGATTAAACAGTTTTTGCAGGGAAAACTATCGAGTAAACATGGGAAAGCAACAAAAGCACAACTTGGTCTTCTTTCAGGCTGAGTTCAAAAAACAATTGTTTCCATGTTGCAATCACACGTGAGACTCCAGGGGAAGAGGCAGAGCCGGCCGCGAGCTGGGTCTCAGCCTGTCCTCCCTGCCGAAACCACCTCTCTGCTTGGGTGACAGGAAGCCATTTATTCCAGGTACAACCATGTTTCTTGGTTCTCCAACACGATCCTGAGGCTTTCCCAGATCTTCTTTCTGTTGGGATCAGCAAGGTTATGGAAAGGACCCGCAGCAGGGCTGTGGGATGATGAGTATGTGACCTTTTGGTGCTGCAGTGCCCATGAAACTAGAGTGAGCCCCAGGTGAAGGAAAGCAGGAGGAGGGCACGCAGAAAAAGACGGCAGGACATCATCAGCACCTCTAGAAGCCAAGAACAGAGCTCAAAGTGTAACAGAGCAGTCTCCCCGACAGTCCATGCCAGCACCTGCTGACTCCCGAAGCTGAGCTGCATTGTGCCCCTCGAGATCAAGAGGAATGGACTGATGAGGCCTGTCCCAGCAGCGCTTGGCACCTTCTGGGGGGTTACAAAAGGGTGACTTACAACAAGTTTTCACTGATTTGTACCTTGTGCTGCAAAGTGAATGTGGCTGTGAGCTACTGGCTCCTGTTTCAGAAAACACACTGCACGCCGATGGCCATCCCATGCCAGCTGGGACCAGTGTGGGGCCAGCCCCAGTGAGACCAGCAGACTCTGGCCAGCACGTGCTTGGGTCTCTCGCAGCCTTATCGATGGACCAGCTGCTCTGGTGGGCACTGCTGAGGGCCAGTGTGACCTGCATCTGGGCCACCCACTGCGGTGAGCACCGCTGAGGACCAGTGCGACCTGCCAACCCCACCAGCTGACGTTGCCACAGTTCCCCACGTGCTTCACAGCTACAGTGTGATGCAAGCCATGGCAACAACGGGAGTGTTTGGCTGTGTAAAGCCAGCTGCATTACAAAACACCCCGTGTCCCTTCTGTCCACCTGTGGCTGCTCAGGTGCCTGTTGATTTTTCTTTCACTGCTGACCTGACTAGGTGAGCCAGAGAGAAAAACATGACCTTGATTCACACCAGCGGGATTAGCCCCATCTCTGCGCAGAGGAACGTGTCCAATCGAAAAACACAGCTTCAGAAGAGGGACCATCACATCCCTTCTCTGGGCACCCACCAAAACCTTCCTGCAGGCCACCAAGCTCCATGGGTAGTCCCAGCAGGACAGTCCCGTTTCCTTTACCAAGGTGGGGAGGGATATTTTCCAGCAGCACAAGGAAGCCAAGACCCAAAAATGCTCCAAGCTCTGCAAGCGGAGCCGTTTAATGCTGCAGAGCAAAGCTGTCCCTCCTCAGCCTCCTTTCCCCATTGTGCAACTGCTTGACGCTCCACAAACCTCAACAAGCTGAATCTCTCCTTGTACGGGCACAAGATCCACCCCAATTCCCAACTCCAGTCAGCGGAGAGCACCCGGCTGACCCCAGGAGAGCAAGAGCTGCAAGAGCATTTGAAGGGATGGACAGGAGAGGAATCGGCCCAAGCAGCGCTGTGGATCACCAGGATGCTTCCCCACACAGCAGCAGGTGCTCCTGTGGTTGGTGTCACCGTGGGAAATGGCACACCACGGCACGCACAAAATCAGAGATCACAGCACTGTCAGCAGCTGCACCTCATCCTCTGGATCCTCTGGTCACAGACAGGGCTGGCCAAAGTGAGGACGGATACGTAAGGAAGAGACCAGTGCTTGTAAGTGCCGAGAGCACAGCGATGAAATATTTCCAGTTTGGACCCCAAAGAGGCCATTCCAGGTTTGCAGAGCAGCGTCAGGAGTGCACAGAGATATAACAAGAGGATCTAGGGTGGGATGTGAGAAGAGCATCTTCAGGCAGCAAATACAAGCAAAGAGAGAGAGGAAGAGATGAGAGAGGGCT